CCTTGGAAAAATACAATCACAGAGAAGAAAGTTTGCAAATACCCATATCCCACACCTGGCGATGGCTGCTGTCAACATCTCAGTGTGTACCTTCGGTCCCCCAGGTGCCTGGACCTCACCTGCCCCAGTGAAAGGATCTCCAGGGAAAAGGCCTGGGAACTCAAATTTCCACAAGCACCCCAAGGGGTGCAAACCCCAAGACAACTGGGGAAATACTGTTCCATTAACATAAACGCCTCTTGCTAACTGCACAGTATCGCTTGCTATGGGTGGAGGTTGGCCACTGTAGTTGCTTCTAGATTCTGTGACGGACATTTTTATGTCCAGGCACTGGTTTTCCTTAAGAGAAATTCCTGGAATTGCCTGGCGAAGTGTGTAAAGAGGCCGACATTTACTTAGTGCCTACTCCGTGCTAGGCAGTGAGGCAGGGAGCAGACCCAGGGGCTACACAGGCACCATGCCAGTCTGTCTTCTGGGGAACCCCAAAATGGACACAGGTTGTTAGGAGACACAGAAAAGCTGGGACAGCCCAGGACACCATGTAACAGGGGCGCCCAGAAAGGCATCTGCTCCCGTACGTGGGGTCCTGACCTTCCTCTTCCAATTCTTCTCATGCTTCTAAGATTAGAAACCCTTTGCCCACCACTGGTTTATACCAGTGGCCTTTTAAAATTGTACATCTGTTCCCTCCCTTGACTTATCCCAATTTTTGTGACTCCCTCCACCTTCCAGAGTTGACTCACGGCTCCCTTTGCTCACCTGGGCTCACTGAGACGGGCCCCATCTCGGAGGCAAAGCCACTGTCCACTCCGTGTGAGCTCCCCTGGCAGCCCGGCCTGCGAAGGGATCTGCAGGGCAAGGCAGGGCGGTGGTCTGCCCACGGGGCCGCCTACTGTCAGGTTTACCTCTGCTGCTACTTCCCTTGATATTGAAGATGAGCTGGTAAGCTGATAAATGCTCGCTTAAATGCTTCCTTCATCTTTCTTTTTCTCTTAATCAAGGAGTTTCTTGGGCTAGAATTTAATTAGCAACAAATTTCGATGATGACATTTTCTGTGCAAAACACAAGAAGTGACTGGCCCCAGGAACTGGTATGTGAGCCACTGCTTATGAGTATTAACAGGGAGGAAAAAAGACTGGATCAGCTTTCTGGGGAAGAAGGGATTTCGAGAAGAGGATAAATAACTACAATAAATAACTAAAACTCAGGTTCTACTTGCACTGGGAAAATCAGATTTCACACATGAAATTTTACAATTGCTTGAATTTAAAATTTTGGTCCTTCTGAATACAGACTTCGAATTTAGGTGACGTTCAGAGTCCCTGAAATGGGCCCCCAGGACTCTAGGTGGGGAGACAGGATATTTGGTCTTTTCCCCCCGCCTTCAGTAAAATGAAAAACTCTGGTATCAAGGTATGGGAGGTAAAAGTCAGTATTTTCCAGAGTTTGGACAGAAAAAGTAACATAAATTATAGGTAAGACTTACCTTAGTATACTAATAATACAGTAATAATGACAATATCAATAGCTCGCCCTGCAGTCCCAAGCTTTCTGTACTTACGAACGCAGTTAGTCCTTAAAAAAAAGCCTTTTGAGGTTGAGCATTAGTATCATTCCCACAGAGAGGCACAGAGAGGTTCAGCAGTTAGTCCTGTGCCACACTGCAGGTACGACCAAGGGCTGGTGGCGCTCAGGCAGTCGGGCTCCAGAGCCCGACCTCCATGGTGGTTTGAAAACATCCGTGTGCACCCAAACCCACAGCACGAAGGCAGCTTTGATCTGAGAGACACTGAACACAACGCAGAGACGGCCTGACGGTGTGAGGAGAGAGCTCCAGCTCACGGAGCCTGCAGGAAGCCCAACCGCACTCAGTCTGGAACAGCCAGGACTTGGCCAAGGCTGCAGCTTCCCTAATTTCTGTCCTTCCAACTTAGGACTAACTGGAGAAAGCCAAGTACGCCCCTCAAATCAGCCCCACGGGATCAGTGGAGGGCCGAGGCAGAAGAGGAAGGTCAAGGGCCCGAGTGCAGCCATTTGGCAGGTGCCAGACCCTGACCGTCCCGCATAGGAAGTCGCCAGCAAGCCGCTGCACGTACCCAGGGGATGAATCACTAAGCCGGACACCTCACCTTTCTGTAACAGGGCAGCAGTTTGTGATCAAGCTTTACGACCGGACCTCAAGACAGTGCTGGGCCTTAGGGCTGCTTCCTAACAGGGTTTTTTGAACATTTAAAAAGTTACCATTGCCCCACAAGGAGTCCCCGCTGCTTCTGGGTAGAGGACCGGGCCCTGCCTGTGGAGTAGGATCTGTCATCTGTCTCTCAATAACCTTTGTCGCTAGCCGACTCTCACTTGAATTCTTTCCCTGTGACGCCAAGGGCCCACTTGGCGAGTTCAGGGCCTTCCCCCTGCATCGGGGCACCCCTGCATCAGGGCACCCCTGCATCAGGACGCCACTTGCAGTGTGCCCCTCCTCCAGGTCCCCTGCCACAACCCCGACAGGGCACAGGGGAACCATCCCTTTGCCCGCCACAAACTCTCCCTCTCCCTGCCTGCCTTTGGGCTTCTGCCAACACGAGCGAGGTGGCCCCCCCCTGCATAGCGAGCCCGGATGACCAGCCTTTTGTGCTCACTTGGGTGGTCCTTCTTTATCGCCACAGACTTACTCTCCTATTTGTGAAACGTGGGCACGTGGGACACAGCGCCAGCCAGCGGGGCGGGCAAGGATCAGGCACCGGGAGGCACCTTTAGACAAACCCCCTGCGCCAGACACAGCCCCGCAGAGCTACGGACCAGAAAGACAACAGAAAGCCTCCCTTTCTCCTCCCGGACCATTTTTTCCTAGTACTTTGTTTCCCACATAACAGAGCTTTCCATTTTCATGGGGTCAAATCTGTGTTCATTCAACAATGACGGAAGTCTCTCCCTCTCCTCTGCCCAGGGCTAACCACACCTGCCTCCCCGCGTCCCCTTCCCCCCTGAAGCTACAACCGGGCTGTGGCCCGGCAGGAATGGGGAGGGCTCTCTTGCGGGGGCCCTGCCCTGGAACCGAGAGTCAGCACTCAGCGGGTGGACAGGCCCAGTCATGTCGACACGCTCCAACCCCGCCTGAAATGAGGCAAGCGACCCTTCCCTTCCCCACCCGGTTAAGTCCAATCTAAATCCTACAGCAAATCCCCCAGAACCAAGCCCTTCTCTCAAATCCCTGCCCCACCCAGCCCGGGCCCCGTGGGAGCGGCCTTCAGCCCTCGCTGTGTGCCTCGGTCACGCGCCGTGACGCCCCAGCTGACCGCCCCGCCCCGTGTCCCCTCCCTGCGCCCCCCCTCCCCGGGCCTGCGCCCGTCCCACGGGCCCCCGGGCAGACACCGCCCCCTGGGGGACCCCGAGAGCGTGCGACTTGACCGCCGGGAGGGACAGCACCAACCCGGCGGGGGGCGCGCCCTCCGTCCGTCCCTCCCGGCAGGACGCGGGCCCTGCGTCCGGACACGGCGCCCACGACGGGGGGAGGCCAGGCCAGGCTCCGCGCTGCGCCCCACCCACGGCCCCGTTTTTGCCGGCGGATGGCGACCCCGCGGCCCCCGAACCGGGCCGTCCCCCCGCGCCTTGGTTCCGTCCGCACGTCACGTGGCCACCGCCCACTGGGGCGGGGCATCCTCCACTTAGTCCGCCTGACACGTCCCGTCGTCAGGTCCCGACTCCGCCAGGTCCCGCCGCCGCCGCCGAGATGATGTGCGGAGCGCCCACCGCCACGCAGCCGGCCACGGCCGAGACGCAGCACATCGCCGACCAGGTGGGCCCGCGGGGACAGTTCGGGGTGGCCGGGACCCTGCCCGGGGACCCCCGCCGCGACGCCGGGTTTTCGGGGAGAGGACCGTCGGGGGCGGGCGGTGCCCCCTCCCCTCGCCGCGCCGCGGGGCGCGCCCGGACCGTGCGAACTGCGGGCAGGCGTCTGCGGGGCGGTCTCCCAGGGTGATGACTGCGCTGCGGTTGTCCTTCCGGGCGAAGAGCCCTCTGCCCTTCGGAAGTACGCACTCGCGTATGCAGAGAAGGGCCGCGGTGGGTCCTAGTTGGAGAAAGATGATTCACGGTGCTGCTGAGGACGGTGAGGCGGCCGCTGCGGGCCGTGGGACAGGTGCGGGACCGCTGCGTGCGGGAGAGGGTGGGCTCCGCCCCGGACGGCACCAGCAAGCGGGACGAGCCCAAGAGCAGGGTGGGGTCCGCGGGTGGAGGGTTCCCAAGAGGAAACGTGGGGGTTGGTTGGGGGGGGGTCTTGCTGGGGGAGGCGGTCGGCATCGCCTGGAGGCGGGGACCCGCCCAGGTATCCAGGGTGGGGTCATCGCTAAGGCGACTCAGCAGGTGGTTTCTAGGCCTGGGTTTTACAAGGAAGCTCACGGGTGGCCCCGGAGGAGGTTCCGGAGCCTAACTAGTGTTTGGCCAAGCAAAAGAGCCAAATGCCCTGGAGTAGTTCAGGAAAAATGGAGAGGGGGGCGGAGGGTGCAAGAGTAGGAGAAGGTGCCCGGGAGAAATTAACCAGAGAAATTAACGGTGTCTGCACAAAGGGGCATTCAGGTGTCCTCTGTACTTTTCTTATTCTAGCACTGTTTCAAACCAAGTCCAAATAAAAAGTTAAAACTCCACAAACAAGATAAAAACCGGGCTGGTGGCAGTGGGCAGACCCTGGGCACCTGCCCCCCAGTTCCCTCATGGCTGGCACAGGTGTGCTGGGGCTCTGCGCCTGCCCTAGGAGGAATCCCGCGAGGGTTAAATGCCTTCCTACCGGCACGTGGCCCCCTAGGGCCTTTGCGAGCTGTCCTTGGGTGTGAACAGTCCACTCTTTACAAGCAAGGGAAGATTCAGGGGATGTCGCGGCCCTGTTTTGAGTAAGAAAAGGAAAAGTAAAACTTCTTTCTCCTTTAACTTCCTGCCCCCGTTGCTGCTTCCTAAACCCGATGGCACATGGCCAGCCCACAGTGTCATTGCTCAGGTGGTTCTGACCATCTGACTGCAGGAGTCAGTCTCATGGTGAGTCAGTCCCATGAGACCTTTGAAAATGAGGAATTTGTCCCAAAAGGGCCTGTGCAGACCACTGTGTGAGCCACGCCTGGAAAACTGGTTCCTCTTCCCGAAGCCACTCGCATAAGCCTAACCCTTCCCGACCAGTTTCCTGGCTTTCCGGGCCTAAGAAATTCCTCACTTGTCACCATGAGCTTTGAATGAGGTCTTGTGGCGGCCAGGGGAGAAGAGTTGCTGTCCCAGAGTGGCCTGTGAGTGGGCAGTGGCTGTTGCTGCTGAGAGATTTGAAGGCAGGTATCAAGTGGCCGGCCTTCTTCAATTTGCTGGGTGGTCTCTGAGGAAAGGGGAGGGGAGAGGAGCAGGGACACTCACTGGCACCCTCTAAGTTAGTGACCCTTTGTTATGGATGCCTATGGGAGCACACTGCACTGAGTGTTCCTGTCTCCACTTTGCAGATGAAGAGAACAGAGACCACAGCCTGACTCGAGGCCCAAAGGTCCGAGTTGTGCATTCTGTACCAGCTCGTGGGGGACCCTCCCCCACGCCAGTCCCTGTGCTCTGAGGGCTGGCAGTTTGGGGCTTCCTAACTGATCTCCGGCTTTCCCTCACTCCCTGGGCGAAAGCCCCGCACACCCTGCTGTGAGCAGCTGGGTGACCTGCCTGGTCCAGGCCTCCACACCCCTCCTCCAGACAGGCAGGGAGGAAGGCGATTCCTCATCTCCCTGGGCCCTTGGGCCGGTTTGTTGGTGTCGCTCAGCCTGGGCTTGTCTTCATCTGAGGACAAGGGCCACTGTACTGGTGTGTGTGACCCCGAGGGCCCAGCACAACACCTTGCGTGCAGACAAGTGCTACAGGTAGTCTTCAGACACTGCTGGGCCCTGTGCCCAGTGGAGCGGGAGCACGCCAGCGACACAGCAAGCGGAGGGGCGGCAGGGTGGCACCTGCGACTCACAACGTCCTCCTGGTCCTTCCTGCCGCGCCTTCAGTCCTCGCCTGTCCCTGCCCGTCCCTGCCTGTCCCCTCTCTGAAGGTGCCAGGAGGTGACAGAACGTTTGGTCAGATTGCCCTGGCAACTCCCTTTATTTCCCAGCTAGCATGCTTCCTGCCAACGGGTGGGGTTTGTTTTTTTTTAAACTAAAGTTGGTTCTCTAGGGCCTGCCTGGTGGCTCCCGCACGGTCAGCGGACTCGAGTGCCCACCAGCTAATCCCGACAGCAGCCAGGGCACTTTTATTTGTTTTTCTTTTTTTTGAGACAGAGTCTCGCTGTTGCCCGGGCCAGAGTGCTGTGGCATCATCCTAGCTCACAGCAACCTCAAACTCCTGGGCTTAAGCGATCCTCCTGCCTCAGCCTCCCAAGTAGCTGGGACTACAGGCATGCACCACCATGCCCGGCTAATTTTTTCTATATATTTTTAGTTGTCCGATTAATTTCTTTCAATTTTTAGTAGAGACAGGGTCTCACTCTTGCTCAGGCTGGTTTCGAACTCCTGAGCTCAAACAATCCGCCAGCCTCGGCCTCCCAGAGTGCTAGGATTACAGGCGTGAGCCACCGCGCCCGGCTGGGGTGGGGGGCGGGGAGCACTTTTAAACTACATTCGATTTACATTTTTTCAAAAAGACAGATTTGCTCTTTCCTTCCATCATAAAGGCGATCAGCTCCTAAAAGCCAAAGACCCTAGAATTGAGAGCACATTTGCTGTTTGACGCTAAAATTAGGATCACCTGTGCCTGGCACACTCTTTCCCCCAAGGAGATCCTCTCAGGCAGGTGAAGTGCTTTGCACCTGCAAAGCGCATGGCCCAGGCACGCCTGACAGCAGGAATGCGGAATGGCCCGCATGCCCACAGCGTGGGAACAATCAGAAGAACCAGGCATGTCCAGGAAATAGAAAGCCACATTTAAATTAAATTTGGGATTGCGCTCAAAATACTTGACTTTAAAAGATTAGTTAAAAATGATGTGTAGTCTTTCAAATGAACTGTTTTTGTGTCAAGTGAAAAAATAAACAGGGCATAAGCTTGTATGTGATGTTGTAATGATCAAAGTATGAAATCATCCCGTGCCTGGAAAAGGCAAACGTTGCACTGAAGTAGCATCGTTCAAACTCTGGGAGATTAGTGAGGAATTGTCTTCTCTGTTACTGGTGCCAGCAGTTTGCTGTGTCGCCCCAGTTACAAGGAACTATTGTGTTAAGGAAAGTCTGTGAAGAGTGGGTGTTAGACCTGCGTGTGCACGTGTGTGTGAGTGACTCCAGCAGGAGGGGAGCCACTGAGTCACCCCTTTCTCTCCGCTCCTCCAGGTGAGGTCCCAGCTTGAAGAGAAAGAAAATAAGAAGTTCCCTGTCTTCAAGGCTGTGTCATTCAGGACGCAGGTGGTCGCGGGGACAAACCACTTCATCAAGGTAGGGCAGGGGCCATGCGGGGGGGAGCCCGACCTGCAGTGGGGCTGGCTGGGGGCAGCTGGTGCAGGCCTGGGGGGTGATCTTAGTGCCAGGGCACAGGTCTCAATGGGGAGTCCTGCGTCAGCCCCCTAAGACAAGCATCATAGCCTCTCTTAGGCCTTAGAGAAGGACTAAGGCTTTCGGGCAACCAAGGACTCTGGTGGAACGAGCGTGAGGTACCGAGGATGTCCCTGCCCATGGAGGAAAAGTCACTGACAACCCAAAGGGACACAGCTCCTGCCTCCAGGGTAGCAGCCGTTCTCACACTCGGCTCCGTTGCAAGGAGGGTTGGGGCCGGGGGCTCTGCTCACTGGACCTTCTCTCTCCCCAGGTTCACGTTGGTGACGAAAACTTCGTGCACTTGCGAGTATTTGAAAGTCTTCCTCACGAGAACAAGCCCTTGGCCCTGTCTGACTACCAGACCAACAAAACCAAGGGTGATGAGCTGACCTATTTCTAATTCCCCAGCTTGAGTGGGGCCCTTTGCCATGTGACGGATACTCAGGATGATTCTCCGTCATCTGCGAGCGTGTACTTGGGATCATAAAATAAGGTCGTCTCTGCGCTGTGCTACCCAGGCTGGAAGGGGCGGTGTTAAGCAGCTTCTCTTGCATCTCTGCTCCTAAATGTCACTATTGATTTTTTCATTCCCAATCAATGATCTTAACTTGGTTATTTTCAAAGAGGGTTATATATGATCTTTAAATATATATATTTTAAGTCTTTACACAGTACTCGTCTTTGTTTCGGATTTTTTTCTCCATCTGAAACGCTAATCACAGTGTAGATGTGCCAGGAAGGCGAGAGTCACTCATCTGAGAGTGTTCATGAAGATCTTTCACAGCTTGCAGAGCCCTGGAGTGCCCAGCACTGGCCTGAGCTGGCTGGTGTGGGTCATTCTGCTCGAGGGCACAGAGGCCAGGGAGACAGCCCCAGGTCCCAGCAGGTGGCTGGTAGACCCAAGGTCCAAGCCTCCCACGTGTGCTGCTGCCTTGACTCTACGTTCTTATCTGGGGTTTGTGACGCCCCCGATATAACCGGGTCCCTGGGCAGTGTGCATTGCAACAGATGGGAGAGACAAAGATACGGACACAAAAAGTAAGGTGAGAGGGTGTGGGGAGGTCAGGGGACCACCAGCACTCCCATGAGTCAGGTGGCACTGACTGAAGTCTAGCACCCATTTTTATTCTCTTTTTCATGCTATAGATTACAATGATTTCACATCAAAAGCTCGTGGGTTAGCAGTAAAGCGTATAATCTAAAGGGGAACAAAGAGACCACATACTTCTTTCTACTTTATTTAGTTCCTCATTTACTGAGACATGAACTGAGGAGAGAGATAGGAACATTGCCTCAGTTTTAGAATAGCAAACTGGTCTTATCTGCTGGGCTGACGTCCTTTGATCATTCTCTCTGCCTTCGGATTACAAGCCCGGGTCTCTTTGCAGACATCCAGGCTGTAGCCCTCAGGCTTTAAGGCGGGGTCCATGCGCAGACATCCCTGATCGGTGGAATGTCCCCCTCAAGGTCGAGCAGCTTTTGCTCAGTGAACTGACATGTCCACAGGTTGCTCTTTGGCAAGTTTCTGTCCCCAAGCCTCAGTTTCCCCCTGTAAACTAAAGGGGTTTGAGTAAATCCAGTTCTATTAAAAGAGTGTTAGCTCTAGATCTGCCCAGACGCAGGCACACACGCCACGCTCCGGTGGAGAGCGGATGTGCAGGAGAGGCAATAATGTTGCACCATGTCTGTGCAGCCGCCATGCAGCTCGGCCAAGTGCTGTGCACATGGAAAGTCACATGTGCTCCACATAAGCTCCTTGGGAAGGAGGAGGGGACCTTGGGAGGAGCATGTCTATTTGAAAAATGCTGTCTGGCTTTCAGCAGAGGTTACTTGCTGTTAGTGGAATCAGGCCAGTGGTTTGCCACCTGTGATTCGTTTGTGTTACCAAGAACAGAAAAGAATACATCGTACACTGTGAGAGTTAAGACTGTTGGGAGAGGCTGGACGTGGGGGCTCACGCCTGTAATCCTAGCACTCTGGGAGGCTGAGGCAGGAGGATCGCTCGAGGTCAGGAGTTTGAGACGAAGCCCCGTCTCTACTAAAAATAGAAAAATTAGCCAGGCATGGTGGTGCATGCCTATAGTCCCAGCTACCTGGGAGGCTGAGGCAGGAGGATGGCTTTGTAGGAGGAGATGACTTTGGCCTAATTTTTTCTGCCAAAGGAATATTCTGTTTGGTATCCAGCTTTATGTAATTATTAGTATATAGTACAAATTGTACAATAACGATAACCTTTGTTTAATCTCCTTATTGCAATAAATCCACATTTGCTCACTTTAACTTCCTTGTTCTCCCTGTTACCCCAGTAACATGCCTTACCCAATCGGGTAAGGGCAAGCTCGTGCAGTCAAAGCCCCACCGGTGGGACAAGACACAGCCCTAGGTCTGCGTCTGTAGCGCACTGGCTGGCCGGCTGCTTCTGCTGCCGCTATGAGCCCTTCTGATCAGAAGTAAAGATTTTTCCCCTCTGAGACAATATGCAGTGCCTGACTGGTTTCTAATGGCACTGCAGGTTACTTCTAACAGCCTGAGCCCAGAAGTTTGAGACTACAGTGAACTGTGACACCACTGCACTCTACCTGGGGTGCCAGAGCAAGACCCTGTCTCAAAAAAAAAAAAAAAAAAAAAAGAAAGACGTGGGTGAAATCTCTGTGCTTCAGGGTCACGATGTGAAATGCATCCCGAGGGTTTCCAGAACTGCGGCTTGCCTCCGGGGCACCCCACGCCCTCACACACGGTCTCCTCTAATTGCCATCAGAAAAAGTGCTGCTGTGCACAGGGTCGACTCATCTAGATGAGATTAGATTCCAATTAGACTAGAGATAGAATGACATATAATTGGATGGAAATTGTGCAAGAGAAAGTCGTAGGTGTGGGGAACCGCATCCTTCTGTTACCGGGTGGAGCATCGAGCAAGCCGATGGGGCTGCCTGGGAGCAGCGGTAATCCCGTTTCTGCCGCACAAACGGCAGGGACAGGGACGCAGCTCCAGTGTCTCAGGCTCTGCTCCTGGAGCTCCCCGCGGCACAGCCAGCCCCTGGTCAGGCGACTCCACTGCGCTCACGACTGCCTGTCTCCCCAGGTCATCCCTCCCTGCTCTCCCTGCCCGCATCTGAGTGTCCTTGTGCCAGGCACCGTGCTGGGCTGAGAACACGCACGCTGAGACAGACGCCCTCTCACGGGGCTCATGACACCATGTGGTCAGAGAGCCCTTCCCTGCCGGGATCTGCTCTCCACCTCCCTTAGGGGTGGGAAAACTATATCACTGGGCCCAGATTTTTAAAAAGGACAGACAGGTCCAGACTCCTTTGCAGCAGGTGTGGCCACATGACCAAGCGGAGCTCAGGCAAAGCCAGAGGAGGAGCTGCCGCTGGGGCATGACAGGGACGCCAGGATCTGGGGAGAGGCAGATCACCGGCAACGCGCCGGGTACGGAGAGCTGCGTTTGCCAGAATTGTTCTCCCAGAGAAGGCTGCATGTGACCACAGGGCTGAGCCGCGGCGGGTGGCTGAGCCCTGCCCCTCAGGACGCTGCCGCCTGGCCTGACAGCAGCCAGTGGGGTCGAGCAGAATTGCTTGGGGCAGCTGAGCGGTCCTCTCTCCATCCTCCGTCGTCCCCATGGCTGTGCTCCCAAAGGGCTGAAAAATCAAAGAACAGTCCTGTGGCCACCCACTGGCTAGCCTGCCCAGGCCCTCGTGTGTCTGAGCGTGGCCCTGGGCTCGGGGTAAGGAGAGAACTACAGCCCAAAGGAACATGCACTGGCTACGAAACGTGGCTGTCCTCTTGGTCCCCACTCCAGCTGACATGTGCCTGAGACAGTTTCTGGGTGCAGGCAGGATAACCTCTTCCGGGGGAACGGGAGGGGGCTCAGCCAGAGGCCCCCCAGGAGCTCGAGCGTGGCCCTGGCCAGGGCAGAGCAGACACAGCTTTGCCCGGGAGCTGGCTGTGCAGTCACCAGTGTGACTCAGAGTCAGGAGCGGGGCACTTGCGCCTCTGCGGGCTGCCCTGCTGGAGGGCAGGTCGGAGCTGGGGGTGACCACTGTGTCCGGGTCCGTGGAGTGCAGTACGCCCATCACCGAGGTGGGCAGGGAGCAGCCTCGCCACCGCCTCCGCGGATCCACACACGCACTGCTCTGGGGCAGCTGTGCCGTGAAGAGTCACAGAAAAGCCGCTTTACGGAGAGGGCAGGTCCTCCTTGCTGCAGGGCCGTGATCATCCACTTACCTGCTCTGTCCATCAGGGGAAGAGGCCTGTGCTGGTCACCTGGGGGGAGCCTCACGGCCCCAGGTCAGCACTCGAGCTGACCCCCTCCAGGGATCTTCCCGGATTCTCAGCGTGACCCCAGAAGTTGGGGTCCCTGGGTTCCTTTTGGGTGGCTGGTGGGTGTGGCTCTCTAGGTCTCAGCCTCTCCTTTCCCGTCTCCCCACGCTGAGCCCTGTAACAGTGTGTCGGGACCTTGTGACGAGTGCCGACCGTGCCTGCCTGTGTTGGCTCACAGTGCGGGGAGGGTGGTGGCCGACCGGGCGGCTTGGCAGGCTCAGGGGTGGGCTTCTGTCCTGTCCTGGCCGACATCACAAGCCCCCAGTGAGGTTTGGAAACTCAATTCTGCAGGTCCAGGGCGGGCCCAGGAATCTGCTTTGTGTAAAGCTCAGGGGGGCCCTGCTGCGTGGCCAGGATCGGGAGCCGGTGGGCTGGGCCGTGAGAGCCCTGCAGGAGTTACTGCAGAGGTGAGGTCACCCGTGCGCACAAACACAGCTGGCAGCAAAGGCGGGCAGCTGGAGTAGGCAGGTGGGAGGGGAGGCTCCACCTCACCGGCTTTGGACCATCAGCAAGTCCGCGCTTGAAGGAGCATCCCAGCAGACCCTGGGGGCAGCGCCAGGGGCCTGTCCCCGAACTTCCTGGGGTGTCAGAACACTCCTTCCAGCCCAGCGACTCTGCTTGGCTGAGACCTGACTGGAGGTGGCCCTGGAGCCCTGAAAGGTGTGGGAGGCACATCTGGAAGGCACAAGTGCTGTCCCGAGAGGCACCTGCCACAGGTGCGGGTGTCGCAGGTCTCCAGCTGTGGGAGGCCATTCTCCTCCAGCAAACGGTGAGGGGAGAGCAGTGCCACAGCCCAGGCACTCGGGGCTCTGGGGATCTCAGGCCTGTCCTCAAGGCTCCTATCTCACTCTCGGGGGCCCACTCCGCCCCCAAAAGGACCCTCGCTTGGAAGTGACCGCGCCTTAGCTTCCGGGGCTGCCGGGCCCAGCGGTCCCTCGCTTGGTACTGCATCGTGGTCACACGGCCGCCTTCTCACTGGGACGCCAGGCATTGGATTTCCGGTCCTAATCCAATGTGGTCTCATTTTACTGGGCAAATTACATCTGTAAAGACCTTATTTCCAAATAAAATCATTCTGAAGTTGGGAGTGAACATGACTCTTTGCAGGACATTATTGAATTTGGGGGACACCTGTCCAGGCTTAATTTAGTGCCCCGCACAGAGCTCCCTTAGACCAGTGCCTGCATTCCGCCCTTCAGCTGGGGCGGTCAGCGTGGAACACGAATCACAGCTCAGTAGAGCTAGTTCCCAAACCAGCAGTAACGAGAGAGAAGAGTTGGCCAGCCCTTACCTCTCCCGTCTCCCCGCTGGGGTGTGGGTTTGGCGGGGAGCTGG